AAGAGAGAGAGAGAGAGAGAGAGAGCAGGAGGCTGTTTTGAGGAGGCTGCCTGCTCGCTCATGCTGTGTAATTGGCTCTCCTGTTATGAGTTATCCCACTCCCCGACTTCCACCTCTGTCTATCTATCCATCCATCCATCCATCCAGCCCCCACCTCGGCACCATCTCTCTCTTTTATACACGCCACATTAGCCACATTGGAATAACAGGGCTGCAGGAATGACCAAGAGCTGCTCCTCGACATGTGGTTTCTAATGACGAGCTGCTATCATGCAACCTTAAACGCCGAACGATGCAGGGTGGTGTCCGTCGAATTAGCAAGAAAATCTCCCAAACTCGCCAAGTTGAGACACTGGTTTGACAGTAGCTGACGGGCAGATGTCGATGACCTCACCCTGTTTGCGGCCACGGCTCATAAATCACCTCCCGGCTTGCTTTCGTACATCTGGATGTTCACTCTGTGTTTAATTCCTGCTTGGAAAGACAGTGATTTGCCTAATAAAAAGAAAAGAAAAAAAAAAGCTTGCTTATAAAAGCTATGTTTTCCTCATGAACCTATCGTGTCAAGAGATCTTCAAAGAGGCTGCTTTTATTCGAAGGAATGTTTTCAATGGTGCGGCCGGAGTGTTTGATGGCTGCGATCGAGATCCCCGAGTATTTTCTCATAATATCCGCCAAGTTACGCCGCGAGTCATCTGACTTGCAGTCACGAGGATCAAAAAAATCGACCTTTTCAGACGTTTTTACTGCAGCAGGTTGTCTTTTATAAACCACATGGTCGAAGGTATTGAGTTGTTTAATTTGGTGCCGAAAAGCACAGTGGGTTTATATGTGACACATTGTGATGTCTCATCCCTCTCTGCCTGCAGGAGTGAGACTTGAAGCATGAAAATATGCCTGACAGCTGTGGGGGGAAAAGCATATGCAGCTGATAAGCTTGAGTTAAAACAACTGGGTATTCAGCTGGAGGTGATCAGAGAATATTTCTACCCCGGAAAAAGACACATTCCAGTTTTGACAAGATTTCGGCTCTAATTAAGCCACCTCAAACACAAACACGGCCCGAAAAGAAATCAAATTAGAAGTGCCACGTTGTTGGTTTTCTTACAACGCTTTGTGTCAGCACAAAGGGAGAAATGTTGTGATGTTTCTAACAGCTCGGCGAGAAGTCTTGCGAAAATACAAAACAGCACACTGCACACGAGGGAAGAAGAGAACACGAGTCGAGTCTCGTTGTCCCGTCTGACCCATCGGTCCTCCTGACATCTGCTCAGTCAATAACAAAAGACAAGATGAGGACTGATAACATCAGAGAGATCTGGTTGGAAATGCTGCCACCTAGTGAGCATGTAGAGCAGATATTGGTTATTTACTTTGAGTAAAGATGAAAATTTCAGATATGTTTTAGGTTGAATATCTTTTGCTTAATTTTTTGAGGGAAAAAATAGTTTAACTGTAAAAGTTAAAATCTAGTTGAAAAGCAAACTCCACCTTTGATTAATATCATTCCATTTTTTAATACAAGTCAGAGATGAAGCAGATATAAAATACATTTGTGGTGCTTTTGTATTCTGCTGAGAAAGCCAGAATAATTAACACTTGGAACCACAAAATTCCACGTTTGGTTTAAATGGGACACGATCTTATGAAAAAATCTGAGTCAGAAATGATTAACACAGAAGGAATAATCAGATTCTTAACTGTCTGGTCCTTCAACAAATTAAGTAAATTTAGCTAAATCTAAGCTTCAATTTTTTTTTAACAATTCGCCAAAAATGAACAGCTGGGCTAAATATGATCCAGTGAAAAACAACTGGTGCAACTGAGAAGCCATGACCGGCAGTCACATGACAGATGTGTTGGGACTTTGGCTGAACTGCAGGCAGTGTTTACACGGCGCATGTAGGAATGCAAGTGCGGAAACAAATGAGGGAGATTAGGAGCCAAACAAAACAGACTTCCTCAATAAAATACATGTGGCATGATTAAAAAAAAAAAAAAAGAAGAAGATATACAGAGGAGCAGGGTGTCGGCAAGTTATTGAAAGATACATTCTGCATGGTGAAATATCTTCCAGAGCTGATGAGTCGTGTAAGAAATGGGTAGTTTTTATGAGTTGTAAAAAATATAAATATTATATATGGTATTCATATTTTATTTTCTTTCTGTCAATATTGATTACCTCCTCTGAGCACTTGGGAAATGTTGTACACTTTGATTCATTTTTTTTGAATCTTTTTGTAAAATTTATAATCAATCTTTTTGTATGAGTTATTTGTATGAGTTAAACTTAAAAACTTTTTTTTTTTTTGTTCTCCCTTCTTCTCGCCAAGGCTGTGCTGTTTCCAAAGAGGTGTAAAAATCTGACAGGAAAACATGTCCCAAAACAGCTTAGAGTGTTACAGCAGCTTTTTAGATATGTGGTGTTGGTACATGTGAACATAACATCAGCTTCCTTGATTTACACTGGAAATTGTCTTTTCTCATTCAGACAAATTCACCATCTGTGAACAGTCGCTGATGACAGGTTGCACATCATATTATACCCCAATGCAGAGATAATACAGCTGTAGGTGGGAACTGGTACAAGAGGCATTTGTATTTTCACCGAGAACATTAATTTTGCAGAAATATCACCGACGTGCTGAAATAAATCTCCAATCTGTCAGGACATCTAGGCTCTGATGACGACAGCAGTTCTCTCTGCAGCCACTTGGTGATGCTCTATCAACATGCATTATGCAGCACATGGTTCCACATGACATTTAGGGATGAAACCCTAAATGGATAAAATATCACAGACTCATTTTTCACGAGGCGCATTGATAAGTCAATAATCCACATAAAACCCTAATTCTTCTTATTAAATCAACACTGCTATTGCAGATGGAAGAGGGGGAGGGGATGGGCAGACGCGGTGCTAATTTTATGACAATTAAACACGAGGAGTTGTGTGTCCCTAATATTTTGTACATTTGGAGTTGTTGCGGTGCAAAATGAAACGACTGACTCAGCAAATATTCCACAATATCAGAAATCCTTTTTTTTTTCTTTTTTTGAATTAATGACTTTCATATAATGGTCAGTCATGCATGTGTACAAAGGGGGACTGAGCAGCTTGCAAAGACACCCACAAGGCAACGCTTTAATCCTTTAACATCTGCAGTAAGCACATTAAACAATTGAAGCAACTTAAGCAAATAAACTGTATGAAAACACAATTTTATGCAGGTTTTGTTTCCAGGATCTTACATGGAGGTTTCAAACATGGAGGCTTTAAGTCAAGTTACGCTCCACGACTGTTTTCTTCAATATCCCGGCTTCTTGTCAAGCAGTGGACAGAAACATCCCAAAACTCATCATCATCATCATTAGAGCGGTGCATGGAGGGTAAAGGCTGATCCTCGGTGTTGGAAGGAAATTCCTCATTACGGTCTTCTTCACTTCCTCATCAATCAGTCCCTCGCCGCCGCGGCTCGGGCACCGCGTGAATGCTGACACGCTGAGAAACGAAAAGTCCTGCCATCATCATATACGTTTTTTTAGAAAGTTGCCGTTGGCGATATTTCGGTAGCAGGAAACTGGATGAAAAGCTGGAAATGAACGAAAAGTGTAAGCAAATGTAAAACTAATTGAGTCAAGGAGGGAAAACAACACAAGGCAGATGTATACTTTCTATCCACTCCAAGCTGAGTGAAAAAAAAAAAAGCTTATTAGGAAAAGTACCTATTTCCCCAAAATGAGTGGGGAGATGGGTAGCTTTGAAGCAAACATCTATCAAGCATTTTGCAGCTTTGCTTAAATGAGCAATCAAGGGTATTGATGTACACAGACTCTTAAGTACAAATCTGCGGTTTTCATTCAGAGAGGCTTTTACCGGCAAATGAAATGAGCTGAGCAATCTTTTCTCAACGCGGCAGAGCGTCTAATGCCTTCTAAAGGTATCTGATGACATCAAATATACACACCGGCAGGGGTTGGAGGTGACTTTGCATTGAGATTTTGTATATTTTCCTCTTTTTTTCCCCCCAAAAGTAGGTCAAAGATCAGTGCGATCATCAAAGTCAGGATGCAAACTTATGCGGTGCATTCTCATTAAGTCCCAATGTAAAGGCTGCACACATGCGGAAGTTGGAGAAGTTTATCCGAGTCGACTGGGATGCATTTGATTAATGAGGCGAATACGCGGAGCTCAAATGCTTTATTTAATTTTCACGTTACGTACAAACGATCGCACGTTGGAGTCGCAATGGGATGGAAGCGAGTGCACATTCAGGAGGTGAGAGGAATGATGCAATTAATGCAGCAGTCTGTCTGACAAGTCCAGCTGGAGTTAACACAATATGCTACTCTGAATGGTTTCTGTGACAGCATGTAAAGGCTTAAACAGGTATCTCTATCACTTATAACAGGTATGCAAGCATCGTTTTTATCTTTAGGATGGATTTTTTAAATTAGGAGAAGAAGAAGTTGCCATAACTGAACAGTGTTTGGACATGAAATGTACCAATTTTCATAAATCCAGCAAGTCACATATACTTTACTCCTTCATGTCAGTTGATTATCTGTGTTAAAACAGTTTAAAGGCACATCGCTGTCGAAACCTGGCATTGATGCAGAGTGTGCAGAGATTATCTGTGTTTGCTCAACCAACAGAACAATCTGTCTGTATATTTGTATTTGGATAAAAGGTGCTTAAAATCACTGCCTCTGCTTATTGTCTCACTGCACAATTTGCAACTGACATGAGCTGCATCAGTTGGGCTGATTGTAAAGTTTAACCCTCTAAACCTCAAGCAGTTTCAGTTTTCTTTGCTCCTGTCATCTTCTTCTGTGCACTCGTTTTTAACAGCAATATAAAGTCCTGCACCTCTGTGGAAACATTGCTGGAAGGAGAGGAAACTCAAAAATGTCTGTTGTGCAGTATAACAGTCATAATACCATCAATTAGAAAGAAAGGAAAAACGAAAGAGAAATTTTATTGATTATTTATTTTTCAAAAATTAAAAAAACAACCTGGCATCATTTTTTTCAAGTGCCCACAGGTGTCACCAATATTGGACATAAATGGTGTTTCTACATATTAGAGGTATTCTACTTTTCATCTTAGTTTCCGTGCTTGTCTCTTGTCTGTTCTGCGTAAACACAGCATGCAAGTCGGCCGAGACGTTCCTGAATTTTAGTCAAGTGACTGTTGGACGCTGCTGAGCTACTCATGACTTCACAGTTACATCGGGGGCCACAGACTTTTTTAGAATCAAGTTAGAGCAAATGCTGTATTTTTGGCACAAAAAAAAAAAAGAAAGAAACATGAAGACTAAAGTAATTTTGATGAAATGCCACAATTTTAAGAACATCAAGTACAGAACAACACTTTACAGGCGAGTAGTTCAAGGATCGTTTTTCAGTTTCTATGTTCAAATTTGGCAATTTTTAAATGACAACATGTCTTTAAAAACCTGGTTTGGGGTTCAGAGGGGTTGAGCAGACATCATAGGATCACTTTTCAATAATGTGTAGTCAATGAAATGACATGTTGGTGAAAACAACGTACTATGCTGCCAACAGAATGGACATGTTTGTTTTGCATTTTGTTCTGTAATGATTGTCATTGAAGACACATAATGTCATGGAGTTCTTTTGTTTGTTTGTTTGTTTATGGGTAGAAGGAATATCTCTCTGCATTGCATTATTTGTGCTCATCGAATACCATTCTGTAATCGGCTAAACCCCCACTCTGGATATCGTTTGGTAAAAGACACATTAGGAGGAGACGGGATGAAGAGTCTGCTGCCATTTTTCAGACACACTTGTCCACTATCTGGTGGTATGTAAAGTCACACCTCAGTGCTTCACACTACAAGTGTGGGAACTGAACCCCAAATTGATTTTTTAATTAGCTTCTGGTGGACACTCGTCTCCCACAATGAACCCACAGAAAAGGAGTGAACCTTTTAAAGCCCTCCAGTTTGACAGCTCATGTACTGCAGCGTTTCACTGTAGAACAGAGGAGCGAACTGCACTGATCTCTTGAGGATAGAAGTTCACTCTTTAACTCGGAGAAGCTGATAAAAAGTTCACACATGAACTTTTCCACTAGTTTGTGGTTTAAGTTGATAACGAGACTCGACCCAATCAAGTAAAAGAAAACGACAAGATGTTGTTGAGAGTTCTGGACAAAGTGAATGTCGAGAGTTTCGCTGTTTTTGTGAAACATTCATTTGTTACTTTGCATGAAATTGGGGAAAAAAACTAAAGACAAGAGCTATAGCTGGGAAAAGAACTTCTGAATCTTCCTCAAGACGGCCTGAGGTCTTTTTGAAGGGCTCGGAACAGCTGGATCAAGGTGTCCGTCCACAGCTCTCTCTGGTGCTGGTTGGTGAGTCGAGCCAGCGTCTGAGTCGTGTACACTAAGGTCAGCACTGTCCTCTCAAAGTCCTGCCAGCTCAGAGGCTGCTGCCGCTGGACGAGCTCGGCCGTCAGACGGCGGATGTCGGAGAGCTTCTTGGGCAGGACGTCCTCGCAGACGACCTCCAGCTTCTCCACGCTTCTCAGGGAGGCCAGTTCCTTGTCTGGGATCAGGAGGGTGTGTTCCTCGCCTTGGATCTGCATTCCAGCCAACAGAATCTGGGAAACAGAGAGACACTGATGAAAGCAAACAACTAAGATGTTACTTGTTGGGTTATCTAAATGTATCCAAATGTGCTGAAGACATCATAGGATGTTATTTTAAAAAAAGGCTTTTATCAATGTCCAGAAGCCTTTGGATAAACACATATTTTAAAATTTCTGCTAATGATTAGCAACACAACAATGGTACACAGTGTTTCATTTTTATTTAGACAAATGTGTGATCTGCAGATGTCCCAGCATATGTTTCATCCAGAGAAGAAGCACATCTCTGACCCCACAAGATCTGAACTGACCTCAAAAAGCAGATTGACGTCCTCCGCCGAGCGCTGGAACGTGGGGTTGATCAGCGAGTATGTCCCACGCTTTATCCTATACGCAGATGGATACAGAGCTAGAACACACGAGAACAGGAAATTGGATTAGAGGATTTCCCTTGTTGTCAAGAAATTAGACACCACATTATCCAGTGTGGCAGGCATGTGGGTGGGCCAGAGGTTGAGTAAGCACGGATTCATTACTGCTCAAATATTATGTAGGTGGGAGGGAATCTGGCTCCAGCTGTGAGGAGGGTAATCGGTCTGATCCACAGATGCTCCGATATTTACAAGTGTCAGCGGCCGGAGCATCCAGAGGTGACATATTTAGCGCACAGACGGGTAGGTGTAGCTGACCTCATTTGCTTGGCCTTTAAAGTGTCGGTACGTGTTTGTTGCAGAGCAGGGACCCCGTAATCTGAGGTGTCCAGACACGGCTGCTGGAATGAAACCTCTCAGCTGCCATAAACAGTTGCCGCTGCTTCATTTCTGTGATAGCATGCTGTGAAATCCATATTTTACTTCAGCTGATAACCAGAGGCTGTTCCAAATGGCCACACACCTCCAGAGGTGGACAGTAACGAAGTACGGCACTCAAATATTTTTGGTTCATGGGATTTTAAAGTAAATTAGAAACTACACTAATGTTGCATAGCTTGGATTAAAACTTTAAAGCTGCACTAACTGATCTTTTAGCCACATGGGGGCAGTGCAACATGCTGTAAACACAACATTGGCATTTCATTTTGTAAAGGCGTTAATGCTAACAGCTGCTTTACATATCTGGCAGACATGGAACAAAATTAGCATTTGTGTCCATCTCTATAATGCTAGTTCTTCTATTGGCTCAATTTTGCTTCTCGACAACTTTTATTAAAATGTATAACCATATCTAGCTTGTTAGCTGCTAAGGTTAGCAAGAGGCACATGTGGATGTACAGGAATGTTTTTTTTTTGCTGAGAACAGGTGCCTGCTGTGTCTTACAATAAAATTGGTAAAGGTGGTGAGACTGAAGCAATCTGTAGGCCAAATAAAACAACAACAACAACAAAAATGAAAAGAAAGTAAATTTGCTCTGTAGAGATGGAACTGCAGAATTACAGTGCCCTCCATAATTATTGGTTAAGACGTGTTAAAAACCTTCAAATAAATTCATTTTTTATTGCAGAAGCATACTCTCACACTAAAACTGTAGAAAAATGTAACCTTCAACTCAACTCAGATGAACTGTTGGCAAAAGGGGGTTGAACAAAGTATTAACATCAAAGGTGCTAATAACTGTGGCACACATGATTTGATGTAAAAGAATTATTTTTTTAATGTGGGACACTGAATAAATGCACTTGAATCAAAGGTTGAATTTTCCTCTTTTTTTTCATTGTGGTCCTATATTATTTAGAAAAAAAATTAATTTACTAGAAGCTAAAGAACACATCTTAACCAGGGGAGCCAATAATTATGTAGATGCACAATATGTTGCTGTAAGTTTGTCACTACAAGTTTTAATACAGTCATTTGTCATTTTTTCCCCATGCAAATCTTCAAATGGGTGCAGCTTTAATCTGTCCGAGTATAGTTTTAGTCAGCATTGCCTGATTACTTGAACTCTACATGTGAATAAAATGCACACTTCATAATACTTAATACATGATATTTTATATTTTAATGATGTTCTCCAACACCTTAACAATGTGCTTCCTTTGCATTTCACTGCTTGTGACAGAATTTTAAAGCGACTGGCAATGTCCCAGTAAATAAATGAAATTCAGTGCTTTGTTTAGGGTTTTATAGGATGCTCTTAAAGACAATACTAAGGTGAGAACAGTGCAGGTTTTGAGTAGGTCTCAAAATCCCTCAGCTTTATTTCCACACAGAGGGGTACATTTGGTTTAAAATGTCAAAACAACACATGGTCTGAATTCTCTAAATTCTCAATAACATAGGAATGATTTATGAAGCAGTCTGATCAAACAACACCATATTTTCATTTTTATGTAACAGCCCTGTGTGAGCGAGCAGATATTCCCACTGGCAAAGAAAAGTCTTTGTGAGGTCAAGTCTATACAAGCCTGGCAATAAAAAAGAAGAAGAGGAGTCGGTATCTTCTCCTTCCACACTGTTTGTAATCCACTATGTCTACTACTACTACTACTGCTGCTGCTGCCCAGACGTTTTAAATGTGTTCATATTATGACTCCATCTATTGTGCGAGACTCCGAGAGCAATTTGGCTGACACTGCTTCAGGAGAGGGGAGCTGAAGAGCAAATTTGATTTGCGCTGAACGGGGGATTCACATGGTAGTGAAGTAAGCTAAAACTTCCTCTGAGCTTCTCCAGACTTCTTGCTCTCTTTTTCCACTGCTTCACATATTCCTGTTGCCATCCAAACGCTCGGCTCAGCGTGTGAGCCAACTCACAGATCACACACACAGATCTTAATGAGGTATGCAGTATAAACACTGGGCTTCATCTGAATTTGGATCAAATCTTCCCCTCTGCCCTACAGCAGCATCTACGGATTGCTGCCTCGCCAATTCTGCGGTAATGATCGGCCCCGCTGCCCGCAGCCTCGCAGCGCAGATACATTTAGCCGCGTAGCAGTTGTGTGGCCGGCTGAAGCCACATGCGCTGACTGATCTCCCCCATGTACCTGCTTTCTGCTTGGGTGACTTCCAGTCTAAGCTCCGGCATCGCTGTTGCAGTAAAGCCACCATTTAGAATGTAAAGCAAATGTGTAGCTCTGTGCTCCCCCGTCGGAACAATACAATTTACAAATTCGGTACATTTGTATAATCCTTCGCATATTACCTCAAACCTCTTTACCCGTTCAACCAGAGGTGTTGGGGAGGATTAGAAACAGTGAGCTCAACAGCCTACTGGTGCAACTCCCTTCAAAATGTTCCCAAAAGGTTAAATTAAAGTAAATTCTAACTCCACACATGATCGATTAAACATTATTGTTATAATCTATAACCTCTGCTTCTACTCTAGAAATGTATTCTGGGGGACAAAGGACATCTTTTCAAAGATTAGTTTATATTTAGGTTTCCCTAAACCCCAAACATTAAGGACCAGTGTTGGGGACGTTCCACTACCCCCGACAGTTTCATGGCTCATGAAGTGGCCACAATCCTTCATCCATTGACTCACGTACATGGAAACAAATTTTCTTTTTTTTTTTTTCTCACACATGGACATGAAAAACACAAGTATTAATCATTGCATTATTGGGTGGAGGTTTTGTGCCTGTATCATTAATCAACATGACTTATAATATGAATAATAGCATGCCACTTTTGTAGGGGTCATATTGTGCAACATCCTCTTTTTAATGGGGTTTTGAACATAATTGCATGTCCTCAGTGTGGGTAAAAACTCACAAAATACAAGAAAATAGCATTATCTCATTTCCTGCTAGATCAGAAAGTGTGTTGCTGAATGAGCCGTTGAGGTTGTTGTGTTGTCCTGACAGGATACGTCTGGCTGCATTACAAATTGTATACTTTTTGGTTTCAGTTCTTTACTGCAGCTGCCCTTACAAAGTACAAACTGTTTCCTGCGGTATGCATACAACTGGGACACCACTTTGTCACAATAATGCGCCATTAACTTTGACCGTTGTAGTTCGTAGTGTGAAATTAGCAGTCATCTGTCTCTCGGCAGCTCAAACTTGATTATCCCCATGCAAGACATCATAACGTTTGTGATGTAACTGCACAGTGGATTGTGTGTCAGAATGTCCTTCAAAGCGTGCCGGCCTGCAAACTGCAAAGTCCAACTGGATGTAGTCGAACATCTGGGTATGTTATGCATATTACATTTGGCTTACTATGTAGTGGGACATACAGAAAGGTTACCACAGGGGTACCAACCCACTTGTGGAAGTGTTCATAGTGACGTTGCTTTTTGATATCGTAGTATATACTAAATAGTGAACCACAATCGGAATGTACCCTAGAAAGAACCTGTAGCCCTTCTCGTGAAATCGGTGTGGACAGCAGCAGCTCAGTTCCATTTAATGCTGCAGACACTGAAACATCCAGTTTGTTATAAGGCTAATACTAAGAGATAGAATAGAAATGGTACAATGAATTAGTGTTTTTAGCTGAAACATCTCTGAAACCTTCTGGGAAAGTGTTGTTGTTCAAAAGAGGTATCATATGGGAGCTTTGAGGACATTTTGCATGTCACATCAACACATTTTCAGCTTTTTGTGTGCCATATTATCCTGTTTGGTCCCCATTTACCGTCAACAACACTTTGGCGGCTTTAACTCAATCAGTGGAGCATTTGTCCCCTTTGTCTCTGTGAGTTCAGCACTTCAAATCATAGGGCCCTGGAGGAGCCATGCCACTTTCAAAATTTGAAGCATTTTTAAAAAATATTTAGTCGGCCCTCAAAACAAGGTTTGTGGTTATGGTTACTTATAACTCATGTTTATGGTTGCGGTTAGAGTAGTAGTAGTAATGCTCCCTCTCTGATTGAAACTGCTCCTTCACTTAGTATGTCTTCACTATTCCTTAGAAGAAAAGCTGTCCCACTAGGCTGACCTGCCAGTCAATGACACACGACTATAAACATGTTTTTCATCTCCATGTATAAGAATCAATAAATTAAAGCTTGACACTCTTTAACAAATTGCTGAACACTGAAATACACCGGTGAGTTCATCACGACTTGCAGGTGAAAATGTACCCTCCTCAGTGAGTGACTCCCACATGCATTATCAACAGCAGTAGAGGAACGCCCAGGCAAACATATTAGACACTGAATAGACAGCGCAGCTTCAATGGGCCATTGCCGTTGTAAACAGAACAACACCCAGGGGGAAGAGTGCTCATTAGAACAAGGGTTATGTTGTTAAAGGATGGAGGAGCTGCTGAGAAATGACGGCTCGGAGGCCGGCACAATGCCGATTTACATTTAAAATTAATAATCTGTAATTTACATAAAAAGGCGTCTACTACTCTCTGTCACCGTTTGCTGTAACACAATAGTCCTTTGGCGGGCAATAAAATGCGTCTTTTATGTTTCTAGCGGCGGCAGCAGCAGTCCAGAATAAAAAATGTTATTGCA